GAGAGAGAGAGAGAGAGAGAGAGAGAGAGAGAGAGAGAGAGAGAGAGAGAGAGAGAGAGAGAGAGAGAGAGAGAGAGAGAGCAGGCAAGCACACGACACGCATACAACATCGGCTGATCACATACATATTACGTAGAAAACGCATCAGACAGCCTCGGAATTGGAATTCTCAGCAAGCAGATCAACATGACATTATTTCCTCTCAGACTGCAACTGTGCGAGTCATTCATTGCACACAGCACATGAAAACAAACGTTCCTTCCCATGGAAAACCGCAAATGACAAGCGATCAAGCTACCGCAACAAAAAAAACAAAAACAAAAAAAAAAAAAAAACAAAAAAAAACCCTGGGTCGGTATTCCCTGCTGTTTTCTTGCAAGCGAAGCTGCGACGGGCCATCTAGTGACACAGAGAATTTTATGTGATTGAAGTCATTGAATTGATGCTTCAATGATTCAATCACTGAACTGCTGCCTTTTGTCCATGTACCGGTGTAATAGAGCTGGGACCTTGTCGTTCAAAAAAAAAAAAAAAAAAAAAAAAAAAACGTCGTGGTCTGAACCATGACATGCCTTGCTCAAGAAATCGGGCCAACACCGCCCTCTACCCGTCTTCTCCCGAATAGAACGTACTGTCATTCTCGCGGCATCTGGACTGAAAGTTGTGCCAAATACAGGCAGAATGACCGTACGTTTTATTCGGGGGAAGACGGTAGGAGAAAAACCTATGTGGGGGCATGGCCTCAAGGCATATTGCAACTGTAATGAAGACAAAATGCCGTAAAAAAAGGCCCTAGTTAAAAAAAAAAAAAAAAGAGTATGATTGTATTTGGTGGTGGTGGGAAGGAAGAGCGGGGGTGGGGGGGGGGGAAGGAAGGCAGAGTAGCTTCCAGCCTTTTTTGCGCTTTGCCCGGTAGATGGTACTGGACCGTGGCCCTGCATGGGGTGCTGAATGGGGCTAGTGCAAGGCCTTTGGAACACGGACAAACTCGTTGTGAAGTTCATGATTGAAGCATGAACTGCCATGAAGCACGAAAGGAGGAATATGTTCTTTCCAATCAAGCAGTTGTTATGTTCCCAGTCAAGGGAGGAACTACCAAGTTGGCCTGCATCTCCTGCTGTTTTCCGAGTAACTGCTGGCCAACTTCTTTTACTGGCCCTTCTTAACCGGAGTTAAAAATTTGGCATCCAGTTAGTTGGCCTGCATCTGGTGCTGTTTTCCCAGTAACTGCTGGCCAACTTTTTTACTGCC